TACTGTTTACTTCTCCTGTTAACTATCTCGAAAACCGTAAGAAAAATACATTATTAGACAGAAAACGTATGACTGGCAACAAGTCAAAGACTCATTTGGTGGAAGCACGCAACTCATTTATGTGGGATACTCTTGATTCCACAACTGCAGCAAGATTCGATAATAAACGGCATTTATTTGTATCTCATTAGAGTAATTCATACAAAGGTTCGATTCAGTTCAGATGAAACAATCTTTCCTTTCCTCCTTTTGATAAGTAAAGTAGAGTAAAGTAAAGTAAAGCTATCCCTGTAACAGGACGTGGAGGCCCATAGGGTTGTGAGACGTCGAGGCACCCACATTTTCTAGATAATCAGCTCACAGATGCAGGTGAGGTTGTCAGCCTTGCACGCCGGCCGCCTTTCATCCCCAGGAATATTCCTGGTATTCATTTCTGTCAGAGGCTGAGTCGACTCCAGGCCTATAGTGCGGATAGGAGGATTAGATAAATTGAAAAAATCCTCCTCATCGGGGTTCGATCTCGCGACCTTCAGACTTGCAGCATTGTGCCTCAACAAACTACGCTACCGCGTGCCCCCTTCCTTCTTTTGGTAATGTTCATACTGCTTATGAACGTGCTATAGTTGCATTGATGTATACAGAGTGAACAGAAAACCACACGCGCCTTCTCTCCTCGGGGATATATGCCTCTAAGTCTTACATGTTTGACACAATAAAAACCAATAATTAACACCCACTTCTAGCTAAGCGGCATCATCATTAGGGACTGACACATTTCGAGAGAGTGAATAATCCCTCCATCAACCCCAGAGCCCAGAGTCAAGTCCCGGATGGGTCTCGCCCGCCCACTGCTGATACACGAGCAATGCGTTATTCTGGTCGAACACGACAATGCGTTTATAATTAGCGCGACCTCTGATACGCGTGTCCACGGCGACAGACTCCCCCCTGGCGGAGACACCGTGTAAACAATAGTGTTCAAGCATCAGTCCCGCCGTCCCACAGACCTTCAGAACTGTACTGTACGTATCTCTATATAGAACAGTTTTCTCTCAATCATTTCAAAGCTTTAATTCTGGAATATCTCATGACGTTATATACTAGCACAATATGTCTCTTTGCAACACAACTGTATACATACAGACACACAATTCGATCCTTCCGTAAGAGCACATACCCGTTAAGTGAAAAATATTTCAAAAGCTCGATTGAAGAACAAATTTCTCTTCTGTTTGAGAAACTTACTATGGTTATATGTTAGTATGTTAACTTGCTTATAAATAAGTCTAATTATAGAACTTATTTGATAGAACTTTTTATTTTAAGATGTTGAACAGGTTTAGAATGTGAGAAACATGTCAACTGACTAGAAAGCTCATCTCCAATATCGAAATGTCGATAGAGAATTTAACGCACAATGTAGAGAGCTTTTAATTGAAATGAACTCCTTCCGGAAGAATGTTTTGCATGTAGCCTTTTTTATAAAATAGAGCCTGATCTGTCCCTGTTGTTATTTTCATATGGAGTTGGCGAGAGAAACTTCCGAAACCTTTTAATTTACAATCTGAGTTCTCTGCGGTGTCTGTAGATGCGTCCGTTTGAGCTAATGATTTCAGCCACAGGATGAAACCCTGAAGAACCAGCGAGAAAATGTTCACCTTTCATAACTAATTTGTGTTCCAATGCAAAAGATTACGTCTGAATTTCAAATATTCATACGGCTCTGTAGAGGTCAAGGATAGAAAGAAGGCGGAGAGAAGAGATTAATATTTCTACATTGAAGTTATTAATTCAAAATTAATTATGATAATAAAAGATAAAGCCGGTCACGGTAGCCGAGCGGTCTAAGGCATGTACTGTCTTCGCTCGCTTGGAAACCGGGATCGTGGGTTCGAATCCCACTCAGGGCATTGGTGTTCAGTTTGTGTGTGTGCGTTTTTCTGTGTTTGTGTACAGGTAGAGGCCTTGTGACGAGCTGATCACTCACCCAAGGAGTCCTGCCGAATATGTAAGATCTAGAAAAATCGACGTGAAAGGAGAAGTTCATGGAGGTTGGCCTAGGCCCACTGGGGTTCTAGTGCCAAGCAAAAAAAAAAAAAGATAAAAAAAATGCAAAATAGCCCACTGTAGCAGTCTATTCATCTGCATAAAGCTTGAAAAGAAGTAAACCAAACCTGAAATTTATCTTAGCATTATGAACGTCAATTTACATATTCGGATAATGGATCTCCCGTGGAACCTCAGTTAACAAGAGGGATTCAACAAGCTTTAGAATCTTGGTAAAAAAAATGTAACCAACTATTAACTAACTCAGCTACTGAATTAGTGGCTCCGCTTTTACGGAAACTGAAGTTTAATATACAAGAGCCCGCCACTAATCCCTATCCTGGCTCACATTAATCCACATTATACCTTCTACTCATCTCTTTAAAATCCATTTTATTAACATCCTCTTATCCACGCCTAGATGTATATTAGCTTTATTGTTAACTACAGACAAATCAGTTACAAGTGGTGGACTCCAGTATAATCATTTGACGTCGTTTGCAATGACTTGAAAACTGACATTAGCTAAGTTTCTCCTTGTAAGGCATCTGCAATTTTCTCAGATTTCTGAGAATAATCAAAACTCTGTAAGTACCATTATTTCTATAGCAATAGTGGCCGTAATATAAATATCTAATCCTTCCAGTCGCACTATGGCCCTGGGGTCGACTCAGCCCCTAACAGAAATGTGTACCAGGAATCTTCCTGGGAGTAAAGGGCGGCCGGTGCGTAGGGCTGACAACCTTACCGCCATCTGTGAGCCGATTGTCTAGAAAATGTGGGAGCCTCAACGTCTCACAACCCTATGGGCCTTCTCGGCCTGTTACAGGGATAGCTTTACTTACTTCTTTTTTACTGGTGGTGGTGGTGGTGGTGGTTGTGGTGATATTGGCAGTAATGATACCTGTCGTTTAGCCTGCAATGGGCATAATCTATCACGGCAAACAGAATGCGAGCTCATTACTGAAAATTTGTTACGTATAAAATAACATGCAATATTTATCAAAATATGTTCCAGACTGCTTATATTGCCTAGTCTACAACTTTAACAGTCCCACAGTGAGGAAAAATACAGCCAATTAAGCGGCAATATGTGAGAACTGTGAGAAACTTGTCTGTGTAAATCAATTCGACCGACTCAGGATAGAGTCCTGTGGAGAAATTCGGCGAACGTGGTAATGCACCTCGGGGTTCAATAAAGATGGGGTATTTCTTGACTGTGCGAGCGAGTATCAGTTGGTTAAGAACGATTTCCTCCAGGGAGTTATTAGTTATGAAATTAATTGAACATTTTACTGTCTATAATCTACAGAGCATTACGTGGAGCGAGGTATACACATGTATCCGGCGTGTTTACGCAGTTCTCTGTATCCGAATGCGTTACAGCGAGGATCTGAGGGGATTTGGGACACGGTGAATAATGCTGTAAACTGGATTCGCCTGACAGCGGATCCTAAGCCTGAGTCTAAGAGTGAACACAAATAATACAAATAACAATGCATTTCGCCTGAAGAACTGGTTAAAGAACGCAGATTCAATAACGAAGAGATCAGTTGGGAGCAGTGCACTAAAAATCCCCTAACGAAGTGTTTATGTTCCGTATTAAGATATAGATATGATTAAAATCAGATATAACAAACTCTAGAAATCTGTCAATAATTTCTTTAATGTTGGACAGGCCGCGAGTAAGGACGGTCACATAAAACTGTAGACCGTAAAGTAAATCCAGAGCGATATCTTCTTAAAAGAGGAGAGGAGTAAATTTAAAACGAAATGTTGCTATCTAAGATATGAAATAAATCAACTAAAATTCGTTTCTATTTGCCACATTATGTACCACAACGCACATTCTACTTAACTAATTTTTAGTATTATTATTCTCATTTCGTGGGAAAAATAAAAACTAATTATATCTGAGATTTTCGTTAATTCAGCATGGTATATAAATACATACATTATGCACTGTGACATGTTCCCTGATAGCCGGAATAGTTTAACTAGAAGAGACGTCCTTTGCTAGGTTACGGTGCAGTAAACAGCACATCAGTGTAGTAACAGTTACACACTGATCAATAGAGGAATTGTGGGAAGCAATGGTCTCTATGGGTCCGTGCAGAGGCTATATGTGGAGAATTGAAACACAGCTAAAGGACCAAGGGTATTCATAGGAGACAAACCCATCCTCTCCTCAGAGAAGATGTTACATAAGGACTATGGCCCCAATGGTTCAATTGCCCCTATCTCCGGAGACAGGGGTTAGCTCTAGCTATTGGACCCAAATGAGTAGGTTTTACCTGAGGACAGGGACAGAATCCAGTATCCAAAATGTTTGTTTAAAAAAAATCGGGACGGTTTTTGGATAATAGACAAGACGATGGATAATGTCCAAAAACATAATATTTGTAGCAATATACCATCGTCACAAAATTTTACATCTTATTAAAAGGACTCTAATTGTATAAAACTACACACTTCATTTAAATCGAAAAGTATTTTACAAATCCCACTACCAATGACTAGGAAAGACGATAATGATAGGCCCATCATATCATTATAAAACGTCGTAATAGGCTACTACTAACCCTGACATTTATGACATAAAACAATTAAAATATATGGGGTTCCGAAATATCCAAAATTCGAAGCGTGATAATAATATAGGCAGTGTCTTCAGATTACAATAATGCAGCTTCTAAGAACACTGAAATTCTCTCTTCAGCTTGGCCCATTTATTTCTAAACCTCGTTCTCTTACCGAAGGGAATGTGGAAGTAGGCCAACAATTCGATGATAACTGCTCGTCGTCTCTGCTGATATGCTGCATGGGGTGCACTGCATTTACTGATTCCGCAGAAACCCTGTACGCTCCTGCTCCCGCAGTGCTAACTTTACAATTGATACTTAATGAGGCAGGGCTTAACCTACATATCTCTAGTGTATCTGCAGCTCACTCACCGGACTCAAGGCTGTTATCGGCCTCACCCGGCACGACGGTCGCTGCCGTGGAGGCGGCAGGGGGTGGGCTGAGGAGACGCGAAGACGTCGCCGTGTCGGCACCGCTGTTACCCGCCCCATTATTCAGGAACGCCTCCGAGATACCTAAAACAATAAAACAGTTTAGTCTCAATTGCAAACAACTGTCCTGTACGACTGTGGTCTTCATACACGGTATTGTGCCGCATACACCAGCTTTAAAATTATAGGATATGCCCACTTCTAGGAAATGCCTACTTTACTGCCAAATTCGATGTAAGATGCACATTTCTGACATCCTGTAATGTGACATCATGTGATTCAATATACACGCCGGTTTTTCTGGCAATATGGAGATGGACGAATTGCATAATGTCACTTAAAGAAGTGAGAACAGCAAGCAAACGTGAACGTGCCACCAGAAGCAAACTCGCTACAAATCGAGCGAAAAGTTTTAAATGAGCATTTTAGTGTATTTAAGGGTTTAAGATAATTGTACTGCATTTCAGTTTAAAGAAAAATACATAAGACTGTAACTTACCGCCAGTGAACTAGAGAGATACAAGTCCGTAAGGCAAAATGAGTACCATAAATGGGTATTACCTAGAAATGTTGTTTTTCAGATTATTGCAGCTGACATATTTTTTTTGTTATGCTTGTCATCACAGCGAATGTTTGGCCAGTCTGCAGCCACAAATAACAGCTAACAAGCAACTGACATAAAATCATAAGCCCCACTTCATTAATTCATTCAGCAAGCTACACTTCCACCGTGTAAGGTCTTTTTTTTTCCTTGGCACTACAGCCCCAGTGGGCCTAGGCCTACCTCCATGAACTTCTCCGTTCACTTAGGTTTTTCTAGATCTTACACATACGGTAGGACTCCTTGGGCCGGTGATCACCTCATCGCAAGGCAAACACAGAAAAACGCACACAAACATCCATGCCCTGAGTGGGATTCGAACCCACGATCTCGGCTTCCGAGCGAGCGAAGACAGTGCACGCCTTAGACCGCTCGGCTACCGTGACCGGCACCGTGTAAGGTCTATTGTATCATAATGAAGGCTAGTTGATCTCCGACCAGAATTTGTATTTTTGTTATGATTCTTAAAATTAGACGTAATTTCTTGTTAACGACTTAGCACTTTAATTAGTACTTGTATTACTTCGTGAGTAAAATATTTTATGAGTAATACGCATTAAAAACTACATATCTATGTTTCAGTAATGATTACTGCATTCATCATATGGCATATAACTATGTAACAACGCTCACTGTTGTACCGTGCAATACAAAATATTAATACATGATACAAACTCCGTCTTCAGTGCAAACCATATATTATAGGTCTTTCGTTGTGCAAAACGAAAGACCTACAATATATGGTTTGCACTGAAGACGGAGTTTGTATCATGTATCGCATGGAGTGCAACAGGATACTTAAATATAATATTACAAAATATTAAAAAATTACAATAAAAATATTACAAAATTCGTTTTGCAAAACGAAAGACCTACAATATATGGTTTGCACTGAAGACGGAGTTTGTATCATGTATCGCATGGAGTGCAACAGGATACTTAAATATAATATTACAAAATATTAATTTTCGTACAGATAAGGCATACTTGGATGACACAAGCAGTCTGCATTGCTCCTAGGAATTTTATAAACTGGCTACTTGAGGCATACAGAAACAATGTCAATATCAACATGTGTACAGAAATATACACTTTTGTGAGTTACAGCTGAAAGAATACTGTACAGATACGTGAAACAGTTCAGCATTAATGTGTGGACAGGAATTGGTGGTGACTGGTAGGCTTGCATCTTTTGCCACATCGGCTTGCAGGCAACGAATATCAAGATTTCTTCTTACACGTACACGGTCTGCTAAAGCTACTGGGGGTCAAAGCACGAATGTGGTACATGCATGATGGTGCTTCGGCACATCTCAGCCGCGAACACCTGTCTTGAGCGACTGACAGGTACAGGAGGACCCATTGCATGGCCTGCACACTCGCCAGATAAGAACCTTCTGGATATTTTCCTGTTGGGACGTCTAGATCCCTTGCGTATGCGGCTCCTGTTGAAAGCCATCAAATTGTGGATGCCTGTTATCCCGGCATCTTTGGATGGAAGTTGGGGTCCGTGATGAGACGTACCGGGGAGTTCACTGAATCTAACGGAAGACATTCTGAGCACTTTCAGCTACAATTCACAAGTTAAATGTTTCCGGACATTTATTTATACAGACATTTTTTCACGTTTTGTTATGTGGAACTTGTGGCCAAAATTTCTCCGCACATTTTAGTCACACTCTGCAGAATAATTAATCAAAATGTGTGCATTTTATACTTTGCCTAAACTGTACAGGCACTCTGCAGATTGCCTATGTACTATGTATTATATGGAATATCTGGATTTCGTATTTCTCATGTAGGTAAATGCTGTATGAACGTAAGTATATTACTACGAAACTCAAAACGTAGCCAGAATTCGAGGAGTTCTTAAATGTCACTAGACAAGCAGGGCCTTCAGGGTGACTTCCAGTCTAATGCTTGAAGAGTGAATCGCATAAACAAAATATCAAACTTATTTTATTATTAGTGTCAAAATAACACTTGAATAGCATCCTTACCTATTCGTAACTGCGAATTAGGAGCGCTAAGAGTCTCGGTTCTATGTACGATGGTTTCCTTCCACCACAAGGGCACTAGATTTATGCTTACAGTTTTATGTGGTCACATTACTTAAAAGAGTCAGATAAGATATAATACAGATAGAAAGTTAAAGGTTAAATTCCAGTGTGGTCTGCTGTTACTCAACGAAACCGTTAACACTGAGAAGAAAATGGAGTGTTAAATAAACTCATGGAGCAGAATCCTTTATCAGATCGTCACTAGGATGGCCAAGGAATTGTATGCCTTGTCTGGAACACGAAGATCCTTTACTGCGCCCAGAAGCGACCGTCACAGGGACTTATCCAGAGTCATACGTCTCAAGTCAAAACCTCGAACTCGATTTCTCCAAGGTCCAGTTTAATATTATCCTCTCGTCTATTCTACCGAGTGGTCCCTTCATTCAGTTTTCCAACTAACTGCAATTTCAAGACGAACTTGAGTAATTTTCTTGTAAGCCAAAGATGCAGAAAAATTAGTATAATCAAAGACAAGCACCGTGGACCACCAGGTTTGAGACATTACGTTACACGTAAATTAAAGTTTACTCCCGAGAACATCAGCAGCTGCTGCAGTGGGAGCTACAAAGCCTGGAATATCGCTTATTCACCACCCATTTAGCCTCACTTTGCATAGGAAGCACTGAGGTGGTCTTATACCCAGCTTTACACCCAAGCCTTGTATCAAGGGTCGCACTGGCCACAAGTGTGACATCATTAATAATTATAACATCCCACCGGTGCATTAATAAAACATTGCCACGTGTTAGTCTAACCTTTGAGCTCTCGGCAACGAAACAGAATCTCTGGAGGTTCGCATGAGTGATACTGGTCAACTGCAAGAAATTTCGGATGAAATAGCGCCTTTGAGAGGAAGTTCTCTGCGGCCTGCGGTATCCATTGCTGCATCTAAAAATGTATAAATGCGCCACTCTATGTGTTACGCGAATTTCCCTTGTAATTTGAGACCCAACATAGGCTTTATGTCAGGCATAAGGGCGTCTCTTGTGGTCGTGAGGACAGGTATAATAATTGAACATATCTGTGATTTTCATAATCACTACAAGCGAAATCTGCTGTTTATAGTGAAGTCATTCCTCAGCACGCCTAAGGTAATTGCATGAACTTTCTAATTAACTTTCTTTTCTATTGTATACCAACTTTACAACAAATGCAAAGCACGCAGTTATGAAAAAAAAATACATGTCATTGAACAATAATAAAACTTCACATACTTTTTCTAGTTGTATTACATACGTAATTTTAACGACCATTTAGAGCAAAGGTACTTGACCACATTATTATCTGATGATGAAATATTACTGACCAGGGCTCTGTCAGTCTCATCTATCATATAATTGTCTTTGATATAATTAGTGTTTGAAAATTCCTGAAAAATTAAAGTTACAAAGGTAATAATCGTACGCGAAACAGAGAAATTTATTTCTTAAGTTTCGGGTTTCTCGTGCTGGACCTACCAAATTCAAGGCATGCGTCATGAACTTCCAGCTACCGTTCTCAGCTGTGGAAGATATGGAAAAGTCTTATAGTTGTCAATGTTTCAAATGGAATATATTTTCAAAGTATCGTATCATCTAAATGTGTCTGAGGTTTACATTAGCAAATACTGAAAAGGAGTCGGTGTGTCCGTGAATCCATAGAGCGAATGGCAGATTGATAAATAATTCAGTTCTGTACCACTTCCCCATCCCTTACCACTTGCACTAGTATTTCCTCCCTTACGTCTATCGGGTGGCGCACAACCAAAGCGAGTGGGGGTGGGGCGGAGGGAGAGCAGTCTCAGGTGGCAATACGCTGTCCAAGGGAAGCTCGCTCATAGAGTCCTCTGGGAACTCATTATCGATGTGGTTGTCGCTCGGAACCACCACCCACCCACCTCGCAGCCAAGATATGGAGGTCATCTACAGACCATATGTAGTCCTCGCCACACACACACACTGCATTACTGCATTACATATTCATATATTTCAACACCTTGCTCAAATATAACTTGCAGCGGTCAGTATCATAATTTGTTTCTGGATTAGAGTGTCCGCAGTTTGAATTTCGAGAACACGTTTGTTTTTATATAACGTCATAGCAATAGTCCTGACTAGTGAAGGCAACAGTGGACGACGTGACAGGTTTGAGAAGAATAACGTACAACAAACTACTGTACTGGAGCGTCAGTGAACTAGCTTCGAGTAAGCATCTCATAAAGGAACACGCCTCCTTGGAATTCCAATACGGACTCCCTGAAATCACTGCAATTTTTTTAATTCGACTGTGCCTTATGCTCTTGAACAATTTGGATATTTGACAAATTTTCTGTCTTTATTTAATTTATTTAAATTCCAATAATATTTGGATGATCCAGTTCTTACTCGCTCATCGAATTAATTGAACAATGAATCCTACATCGTAATTGAAGGTGACATAACATT